GATGAAAAATATGGAAGAAATTGATCCACGTTTTATTTGTGGATCTTGTAAATTAGTTTTGTGTGAACCGTATCAACTTACCTTTGGTCATCATTTATGTAAATCATGTATACATACTGATAATAAGTAAATATTTCTTTCATTGATATAAAAAAAAATAATATTTTATTTTCTTAGTTGTGCAATATGTTTGGAAGTTATAGAAACAGATAAAGTATGTTGTTCGTTGAATTTTTTTTAAATATAATTTACTCATTTATTCAGATTGGGTCGGATCGAGGTTTAGAAAATGACATGCGACGTTTTTCAAAAACTTGCTCTCAATGTGATTGGAGAGGGCCATTGACGTTTTATAAAGTATGAAGTTTTAATTCTTTTCTTTTATACAATAATATCGTTTTTTAGAAGCATATTGAACAAAATCATGGAGGTTCTAATGACCGTTTTATTTGGAATGGACAGGTAAATAAATAATCGATGACTCTTCCTGTAAGCGATCGTATTTTTTCAGGTTAATGGAAATGATTTTAGTCAAAATTCATTAAATTCGGAAAGATTAACCGGATCGTACGCAGGAAATAGACAACTTTCTAATGATGGTTCATTTATTTGGCGTATAACAGATGTTGAAAGAAAGAGAAGTACATTTATAAAAATAAAATTTTTATTTTTATTAGTAATTATTTATCCATTTATTTATTAGTATATGCTGTATCTGAACGACAAATGTCAATCGATTCTGAACCATTTTATTCATCTCCTACAGGTTATAAATTGTGTTTACGATTGTATTTAAATGGTGATGGTAATGCACGTGGTACACATTTATCATTATTTTTAGTAATAATGCGTAATGAATTTGATGCTATTATTCATTGGCCATTCAAATATAAAATCATATTCACTTTACTCAATCAATTACAATCTAATAGTCCATCGAAATCTTTCTGGCTTGATGTAAACTTAACATCTTTTCATAGTCCAACAGCGGATATGAATATTGCTTGTGGTATTCCAAAGTTTTTTCGACTTGATATATTTGAACAAACATATGATGAATACGTTCAGAATGATACAATGTTCATTAAAGTTGAAGTGGATTTTACTAGTGAAAGATCAGGTAAAATATCGTCAATTAAGAATTTTATTACCAAAAAATACTTGAAAATTGTTTTGTATTCAGAATTAGCATCTGTTCCTGGTGTTAATGAATTAGCAAATAATGAAAAACATGTTGATATAATTCATGAAGATATTGATCCAATGTCTCATTAAGCTGATACATTGCGATGAAATTGAACAAACTACTTCATATTCATGGACTTTTTTTGTCTTTATTCCATTTTATGAGCTATTTTGGTCACTATTGATGAACTTCGTTAGTTTGGAGACGCTTTTTCTTTAGATTTTGAATTTTTTAGTTTCATCACATTCATTATTTCTGTTTTTTTTTCTATGGATTTGTGCATGGCACCTAAGTCTCTCTTACATTTTTTTCACTTTTTGAAATTCATTATTAGTGCGTGAATTTATCAAATAAAAATATTCTCTCTTTTTGGTCGGGGTTCAGATTTCGATGATAGTATGACAGACTGACCTGAAATCTCGACCACAGATAGGTCTGTGCTTTTTCAAAAGTCTCACTTTGTTTTTTTTTTTGAATAAAAAGATGTGTAAAGAATCTTAAAAGAAATATTGTCTCGAATATTAAAACTCAATACATCTCTGTATAAAGAAGATCAGAAATGAAAATGATTCATTTTACTGCTGGTAAAAATCGAAGTCCGTTCGGACAAAGTTAAAGGGGGCTGAGCTTCATACAACTGAACGCTCCCAACAAAAAACAAAATAAATCTGAAGTTTATTTCATTACAGAAAGATGTTGAAAGTTTGTTTCAGGTGACTATGTTTTATGCTGAATTCGATGATGATATCGACAAAAATTTAACGACAGATAGTTAGAAAGGAAGAATCCATATCTGTGGCCGATTTTCATTAATCAGTCAGTTATTAATTATCAATTGTTATGATTTTTCACCAAACTTGACTCAAAGTAATTTAGTCTGAGACATCTAAATTTGACATTAGTCGTAATTAATCGGAATACGTAAAAATCTATTTTTCTTATTGTTTTTAATCTAGTAGTGACGCTTTGAGGAATTTATGAAAGATCAAAGTTTTCATAAAAACTCGACAAAAAAAATAACGACTTATTGGATCGAAGTAATTCAAATGCTGATCAAATAATTTACATTCAGATTATCATAAGTTCAATGCAAAATTTTTTTTACGATGCAGTTGTACACTAGGTAATAATTAAAAGAGGATAAATTACATCAAGTGAAAATGATTAGTGGAGTACATTACATTTCTAGTAATAAAGAAAAGACTCAATTTCTGTTTGTCATAATATTCAAATGTAGATCATTATCTAGCCAGACATTTCTTTTATGAAACTCAAATAATTACATTCGTCTGTTTGACAACTATAAAATTACAAAAACCATCACATTTGAACAAATATATTTTATTACAAACGTGCCAATTAAATACATACAGTCAGTTAGGTTTTATTTTATTTAAGAATTAAAAATAAAATTACTAAAATTTATTTCTAAACATCACATAAAACTATTTAGTCTGAATTACTTTCATTGCCATCATTTAACTCATCTTTTGATTCAAAATTAGTTAATTTTCTTTGAGTTTGATCGACTTTACATTCATGATTTAATGTTGTTTTTGAATCAAAATTGTTATCGTCTCGTTTAGTTCTACGAAATGTTGTTAATCCTATAGATGTTCTTGCTAATCTGTTCGATTTAAAATCAGACGTTCGCTTACAACATAATTCATTGATAAACCCATGTAATTCTTCACGAAAATTTCTTGCCGAAAAACAATATAGAAAAAAGTTAATTGCATGTGCTGTAAATTGTATACTTCCTAAACATATTTGTACCATATGACGAAATGTTCGAGAATCACTTGTTGATGGCATTCGATGACGAAAGAAAACAAAATAAACACATGATGGTAATGTTAAAAGTACAAACATAAATGTCACAAGCATTAACATTATAGTTAATTGTCGATGGCGAGATGTGCTTGTAGTTGAAACTTTTCCAGATGCATCTGTCATTCGTCTTGTCATGCGTATACGTGCTGAACGAATTGATATATATATTATAAAGGTATTACATGTTAACATGATTATAAATGGACATAAATTATATACAACTAAATGAACACGTTCCCATTGAGGAAATATATAATGAATATTAGTTCGTGTTGCATAACATTTAACTGTTTTTTTTAATGTATCAATATAATAACCATTAAAAAATAAAATATGAGAATTTAATAATAAACAAGTTATGGCTAATATAGCTATATGATATTTTACACGAGATAATTTACCATATTTATGTTTCCATGTTAAAAAATAAAGACTCAAACAACGATCTATGAAATAAAGAAAAACAATTTTTTTATAGAACATATTTCCCAAAGGTGAAAATATAGATTGAATGTACATTAGACATGACCTTACAAGAAAAAGAAACTAATTGTGTAATTGTCAAAGAAAGAAAAGAGAAAACAGCTTGAAATCATACATTTGTAAACGTGCTCAACTTTTCCGTTGTACGACTATTAAACTTTTTTAGAACTTAATTCAATAAAATATTCTTTTTGTTATTCATCGGAAAGCTTTTTTGCATCATTAAAAAAATATCATTTCAATAAAAAATGCACGCAAACGGTTTTAATTAGTTCTCGAACTATCTACTCATTAACACCTATTTATTTTTGTAGAATTAATCTCTAAGATTATATAATCGTTTGAAAGATTTACCTAAACTGACAGCTGTTAAACACCAACTTGATAATTGTAAACCAACAAATGTCATATAGGACATAATTCGACAATGTACCATAGATACTTCTTCTAAATTATTATTATTGGAACTGATGGTAAATTTATAAAAATTATTTAAATTCCACCCGTATAATGATATAATATCACATATACTAACAACAATTAAATATCTCATTGTAACATAACGTCTTAAATTTCTTCGACATAAAATAATTATTGTTAATAAATTTCCTAATGTTCCAATAATAACAAGTATAAGTGCATATACACTTAAAGAACGTATAACAAAACGATGTAAATTTGAATATTCGGATGAATTAGTTAGATTAAATTGATTTGGACTATATATATCTTTGTCATACATATAATCCATACTTGTTTCGTATACTAATGGAGCTAAAGATAATAAAGATAGTGTTGATCCATTCATCTTACTAACTTTCTTTTAGTAAATCGGATAATGGAAAACGTGATAGGTGTTGAAAGAAACTAAAGCTTAATTATACTGAAAAGTAAGAGAAAAGAATCAGACATATATATATATATAACGAGATGACAAACAAATGTACAAGGTAATAGAAAAAGCTTATCTTTCCTTTTCTTCATACAATTCTCTATTGAATTTGACGATGATTAATTTGAAAAACTACTTCTTATATACTTCAAAATAGAATAATAGTTTTCTTTTTTTATATATATTCTACTACTTCATAGGTTACTTTTTCTCATTATTATTATTAACTTAGAGAACATTTTTCTTCACTCAAAGAGGAAAAAAAACTCTTCATCAATTTATAATTCTTCTTCTTCTTCTCATTATCATGATTTGGTTTTCATACCATATAACTTATTTTCTTTCTTTCTTCGTAATTAATACTGTTGACACGTCTATAAATATATTCTTCCACCTGTTTTTTTCTTAACAACTATTTTTATCGTTTATGGTACTGATATTATATATAAACTCTAACAGACAACTGCAATGACACATATCATTCTAAGATTAGAAATATAATTTTTCTGTTTGTGTAAATTGTGCAAGATCTATACTCAATATTTTATAATTGTCAAGAAAGGCCTTTTAATACTCACGCCTAAATAATCTCACAATGTGAAAAAATAATATCAATAACAAATGCTACCATATCAATAATGAAAGACTGTACTGAGTAATCAAATAATGCTCTTTTTCTTCTTGTAAATATCCGTAGGTCGTATAACATCAGTTGGAAACCAATAGATTTCTCGTTCTTTTTCTCTCTAAATTGTACGTAAGTTCTTATATTGCTATCTATTATCAGACAGACTACTAACTATGTTATTATTATATTTAGTTATACAAATGTTAAAATTATTTCTCCCATATCATTATATCTAAATCAACATATATAAATACCTCGTAGATTGTTGAATATGAATAATGTTTGTTTAATAATGTTTTGTAAACTTTTATGTATATTATATTGATACCCACTGTTGTTGTCACTAATGATGATCGTATAAGAATGAATTCATATTGTTAGATATTTCTCTCCAGGCTTATGTATGTATGGAAAACAAAAGACAATCGATCGAAAATATTTACCTCTTTAATTGTCAAAATAACTTGTGATCTGAAATATTATTTAATCAATTTGTTAACAGATTTAATCGAATAGATTTTTATATTAGATAAAGAACAGATATTTAGTGTGTCATTTACCCAATAGAACAGTATGCGACTGAAGCGATCGATATTCTTCGTTTCTTTTTATACTAGACTGTCAGATTAATCAATTTGGCATCTGCTTTGGATTTGACACAGATTACTTCGCAGACGAAACATACCAGACAAAGAATTTCTATCTTGATAGTTTGCTTGAGTAAACGTTATTTCCAAGGAAAAACAATCCAGTCTTGCTGATTCAAACCGTATAAAAATATAAGCTCCTGCTGTCTTAAACAAAATGAATAACAAACAAACATTGACATAATTGGATTTATATCTAATCGTGACCTATTTTATACATCGAAATTCGATTAAAAAAACTGTCATTTAATCAACGATCACTTCAATTCATTGAGTTAATAAATTATATTCCAAATACAATGTATTCTCATTTAATGGCAATAGAGAATATTAATGATTCGATTAATCATTGAAAAAAACAAAAAGAACATTTTTTTTTGTATTTTTGTGACACCATAATAACAGTTTAGGGTAGTCTGACATAAGTAAAAATAGACGTAATTATATGATTTTCCTTACATATATATACAAATTACAAGAAAAATTATTGTCATAAATTATATCATTTACATAAATAAATCTCGTATCACATCTGTTGAAAAATGACTGTATTATTCTGAATATTCTATACGTACAATAGAACATGTCATAGAATATCTATCAATCAAAATATGAAAAGTCATATAAGTGCTGAAAGTTCTAACTATATTAAGACTAAGGTTAAATACGTAAGAATAATATTTAATAGATAGTTTTGCTTGAAAAGTTAATCTATTGGCCTTTATATTTTAACACATATTCAACAGAAGAAAATACGATCGACTTTTTTTTTATGATCGATTAACAAATTGACAGTAGAAATTGTTTGTCATTTATTACTCGTAAATAACATCTATGATATGATTTATTTACTTCAGCAGTTGTTCTATGTATAAATCAAATTCTTATTAATATTTACAAATCATTATTGAAATACATTTTGTCATTTCATATGACACTTTTAAACTATTGAACTCATAGAAAGTTTTATATTCAGTAGATCTCAAGAACGGAACATTAAAAGATATTCGTTTAATCACGAGATGAATATATCAAAATCAAACTGACAGCATTCATTTTTCGATTTTGAACAGCATGCTTAGTTCATTTACAGGAAGCGTCAGAAAAACACGATCTTGACGATGGACTTTGTTTTTTTCATATTTTGTGATTTGTGATAGAATATTCATACTTATGTATCATATTGCGGCTATCACTGTTAATTACGTCTTACTGTAAAATTCATCTAACTTTACTACAATTTTCTATAGTGGAATTGTTTTAATGAATGTTATTGAATTGCAAGGAAATAAAAATGATTAGTTTAATATTGGTTGTTAGTATCGTTAAATAATTCTTTTGTTCAAATTTGTTACCACTTCTTCACCGACATAGAAAAATGCTATTGAACATTATCTCTACTACAAATTAATATTATTTTCATTCATCAAGTGATGACTATTAACACTTTGAAAATTTAATTTTGTATTTCTTCAAACTACTTTCGCGTATAAAGTGCATTATAAAAAATCTTATAGATTTTTTAAGGGAATGGAAAAATGAACCAGTATGAATGAAATTTGAAAAAAAGCGACTTTACTTCAATATTATAAAACATTATTTGATGTTTCTATGAAGGTATATATTAATAGATCATGAATAGAAAGAATCTTTTTATTGAATTTGATTATTATCTTAATAATTTCCATGATGTAATCTATTGAAATAATTACATCATACAATCAAGTATATATCTAAAAAATAGAATCTTTTTTTTCTGTTTGAAAATGTCAGAAATCAATTTAATTTTGAAAAATAACTTTTAAATTGCATATTGTTTTTAATTTGTAATCGTAAATAAAGTAATCTTGTATATCAAGACAAAATATTATTCATATAAAATAGTTTGAAGGTATTAACTATGAATGTATGACTAAAATTTCGTTAATGTATAATCAAGAATGAGCAGAAATTTCATCATGTTTACTTTTTTTAACATGTAATTTAGCTCAATCTTTCAAGAAAAAATATATATGTTATTCATCTATACATGGAATTTTATATGTAAAAATATAAAATACAAATGACTTTGATCACTCTTAATTTTATTGCTAGAAACAGAGGACAAAGTTTATTAATTATAATAATTATATTAGTAATTAAGTTTGAATTATTGTTTATGTTAAATCAAATAAAAGTTGAAATAATATATTAGACGAGTTTATCTTAATCATTCAGATCATAAAAGAAAATAGTTTATTTTATGGACTGTACTGATTGTATAAACTTTATCAGAATCTAAATAATCATTCACACTAGATTCCAGTTAGCATACTCAATACTCACCGTCATGAATATGATCTAAACAGTAAAGTTTAGTATTTTAAATTAATTCAAATCATCTAGAACAAGACTAATCTTACCTTGATTTCGATCAATTCTTCAGGGTGTAGATCGATCTTGACATCGCGAACATCTACTTGTGCCACTATACTAATTGAATTTATCTGTAGTTAATATAGTATGAACACGATTACTTTTATTTTTTTATCTATCCAAATACTAATTGATCGATTCAATCAGACCATGCGTTGACGACATATCGGTATATATATTGCAGTTTTTTAACTTTTTCTTCATTATATGAGGCCTCTCTCAACAGTATTACAATTCAATTTCATATAAACTATTCTTCGTATTATTACAGAGAACAGTCTCGTAAAGAATTAGAAATGTATATATGTCTGAGAAGGTCATTGATACATATATGTACATATGTGTATCACTCTATCGGTCGGCTTTGTCTACTACGTTTTTATTATTTACAGAGTTGTTCTCTGTACACGCGCGAGAGTTACTAAAAAATAGAATTAATTCAAAAACAAGTGAGCAAAACCTTCTTTTATTTGTTTATAAACTATTCTTTATAATTTCTTTTTGACAAATTCAATATTATTTTTCACACCTTTAATACTAGGATGAGTTGGAGGTAGTGCACGTTGGAATATATCCAGAGCACGTTCAAAATATGATAGTGCTTTCGAGTACTCTCCCATGCTGCCATACACCAAACCGATGTTGTTGTATGAAGTAGCCAATGAAGGATGATTTGAAGGAAGAGTTTTTTCTCGAATTTCACGTGCTTTTTCGTAATATGGAAGTGCTTTTGAGTACTCTTCCATGTTGTTATACACCAAACCGATGTTGTTGTATGAAGTAGCCAAATCAGGATGAGTTGAAGGCAGAGTTTTTTGTCGAATTTCAAGTGCTTTTTCGTAATATGAAAGTGCTTTCGAGTACTCTTCCATGTTGTTATACACCAGACCGATGTTGTTGTATGAAGTAGCCAATGAAGGATGATTTGAAGGTAGAGTTTTTTCAAAGATTTCAAGTGTTTTTTCGTAAAATGAAAGTGCTTTCGAGTACTCTCCTATGTTGTTATACACAGTACCGATGTTGTTGTATGAAGTAGCAAATGAAGGATGATTTGAAGGAAGAGTTTTTTGTTTGATTTCAAGTCCTTGTTCGTAATACCAGATTGCCTTTTCATAATCACCCTGGTCCTGTTTGACACATCCCAATTGATTATAATAATGCGCTTTTTTACTCTCATCAGATGTCTGTTCGAGTAATACATTACAAAGTTCTTCAGCTTTATTAAACTGACCGATTCTAAGCAATAAGTTACCCAATCTTTGCCATCCGGTGCCACCACCAGCTTCTTCTCGTATCCGATCAGTAAGTACTCGCAGTTGTTCATCATCATCCGATGTTAATTCTAATTCAACTTGATAAAGTTGATCCTTTTTGTCCATTTGTTTAATTGCATTCACTCGAAACACGGTGTGCATTGAGAAGAGAATTTCTTCCTCTTCCTTAAAAAAACTCACCTCTCTGATGGAGGCAAATGGTGTGGATTTCAAGCAAGGATCAATGGACATTATAAAGTAAATGCCCACCTTATTTGGTTCTGTTGAAGCACGTCCAGCAAAGTCGAGGGACACTTCTTTATCTTTACTCGTGGACAAGAAGTTGTTAAATGATATAAGTCCACCTTTCGCTTTCTGAAGTTTTTCAAAGTCTGATTTCATTAAACCTTGTCCTCGATAAACTATAAAAGGTTTTCTTTCATACCTACTGACCTGCTGTTCGTACAGCTGCTTAATTTGTTGATGTACATCACGTAAAAAGAAGCCCATGTTAATGATTATATCGGCATCCATATTTCGAAGTGCTTGATTGAGCATTTTGTAGGTAAAACACTCACGTGTATACCACCATATTGCTTGTTGTGGATTGTAGTCACGTTCAAATTCATTAATCAGTTCTAATTCACTTGGATTGTCACTAAAAAGTTCGCGGCAACACACAGCCAAGTCCTTGATTGCTTTGGAATCATATTCCATATCAAGGAGAATCTCCTTGAATAGTTGTGTATACATAAAAGTTGGCTCCAACTGATTTAAGTTGTCAGTTGAAGCCATATCATTCACCGCGAGAAAACTTACGGCTATTGTGTCTTGGTCACATTGTTTTACTGCCACTTGCAATGCTTGACAGATATCTTTGATATTTGTATGGACACCTTTGATTTTTATCCAATTTTGAGTCCATCCCTCATGTCGAGATTTGTTGCCACAAAAGATGTAAATGGCATTTAACTGTGGCACACCATGAATTTCAGGAACTAAGTGTTGACCTAAGGAGCCTGATGTTATCACAAAAGCTTGTTCCTTATCAACCTTGGTGAGTGCTTGAATGCACTGATCCGATTCCGTGCATAAGGTGACATCATTGACCACGTTCTTCAAATGAGCCAGTGTATTTTGGCAGTCCTTGTCTGATTGGTCGATGCTGGCATCTACCCAGATGAGAAGGTAGTTTGTAGCCCTACGTTGTCGTGAGTGACGAACTGAAGACGCTGTTGCTCCATGAGACGATTTTACACTCGGCTTTGAAGTTTTCGGGTCCATGATACGTATATGGTGATAACTGTATGTAGTTGCAGAACTGAAGTATTAATGGTTAAGAAAAAAAAGGAACATCATTATTTATATGAGAATCAGATCTCTTTATCTCAATGTTTTTATGGCATCATTAGTTATTTCTTTTTATGTTTATTATTATTACCTATAATAAAACCCTTATCTTGTGTATCACTCAACTCATATTATACAACAAGGTGAGTAGAAAGAGAAAAAAGAATTCGTTTTTTCCAACTTTCTTCACAAATAGACGAGAATATCGTCAATAAAAAACAGATATTTACTCTCAAGTAATGCACATCAAGAGGCTCACTGCATTTTCTCATGTTTTTAAATTGCATATTTAAATTATACAAGAAAAATCAAATGATCGTGTTCTTTTCTATGAACGATCAATAGAATCTGCTTAATCTTCTACACATATTAATAGTAAAAAAGAGTAAATAATAATTAATATAAAACTCATTGTTCGATAAACTAACAATTTATCCAATATCAAAATTAGAGTGTGGGTGTAGGTCGATGTGGGTTGTATTTCTGTCTTACAACTGCACCCACATCCAAACTCACACCCATATCCACACCCACATCCCAAAGAACTTGATTTTTCTCTAAACAGATTTGTCGTCATAAGTATTATTATAATTATGCAAGTTATATTTTTCTGATTTTAGTATCAAGGATCTCTTGAAATGAATAGATAATGTCAATGCTGATTAAAATTACTCATCTATAAGTCATTGTCAATATATACATTGATTAGCAGATGAAAACAATACAATTTCCAATTAATCAACAGATTAATAAAGAATTATATTAATGTACACTTACTTATAATTATGTGAGATATTTATTTATCAATAACAATCGATTCGATGAACATATATCAAAAATATCTATCGTAATGATACTTAAGGACCCTTTTCAATTTTATAAATATTTCTGAACGATAAGATTTCAATTTTTTTCGAAACATAAAATTTGTAGATTATTAGATTGTATAATACTCGTTATTATGGAAGCTATCATTTCACCATTATTTACAGTGATGATACCCTAACAGAGACCTTTGAAAAATAAGGATAGCTTTTTCATAAACTATTCTTTTTTAATTACTGGAATATTATCATCTACCGACTGAGTTTTCAGAGTTATCTAACAGCGTATATTGCAATCTTTCCCTGAAAGAATAAGAGCAAAATACACATCCAAATATCATAAAC